TTGATTGTGTAGTCCTTGAGTAGACTTTGAACCATTTGCTTGTCATAACTTTGAAGATTATGGGAGGGCAAATTTTGGGGTACAACAGCAGGAAATAGTGATTTACATTCATATACTGGCCCTGGCTTCATTTCATCCACGTCGACCTCTGCCTCTGTTGGTGAGGTATAGTCGGCCTCACAAATGGGATATGTGTCATCATAATCTATGAAGGCTACTTTTTCTTTCTTAGTCCCAGCCTTAGTATGTCTGACCTTTTCTAGTCGCAGACGCTCTAGATGTCGAACTCTATCAGCTAACTGTGACATACTCTTCATGAAGGTCAGATCTATTTTCTTCCTAATGGAATAATCTAAACCTCCAACAACCATTTGAACAAGCTCATGTTTTGGTACTTGAGTAAAGCATCTTGCTTTCAATGACCTAAATCTATTTAGATAATCATCAATGGTTTCATCAAACCTTCTTTTAATGTTTGACAATTCAACCAAACTAATTTTTGAATGACCCTCATAAAATTGTTCATGGAAAAGTTTTTCCAACTTAGTCCATGAGTCAATCAAATTTGGAGGCAAAGTGGTAAACCACGTGAAAGCTGCCATATTAAGGGAATAAGGAAAATGTTTTACCCTTAAGTTTTCATTATTCGATATATCCCCATATTCATTCAAATACATAGCAATATGTTCCACTGTCGACTCTCCAGATTCTCCCCCGAATTTTGTATACTTAGGAATTTTCCATCCTCTAGGGTTTTCATTCTGTAAGATATATTCAGACAAAGGGGAATAATATGTTGGCCTCTGAAGTGTGGTATTCATACCATTCCTAGCCATAATTCTTTCGACAATGGTGGCTAGATTATTTTCTACGGCTAAATCCTCTTGTCGAATTTGTTCAATAATTTGATCAGCCTCTTGATGTCGATGTACTAATTCCCTAGGTGGATCGACAATCAAATTCCTTGAAGGTACTAACACTTGTCCCTGGTGGAAAGTTTAATCCTGTATTGCCCCCATGTCCATTTGACCAGGGGCATCTAGTCGAACAAGTGGCACATGTCGAATAGATGCTGAGGGAGCACCTAAAAAATTACACAAACATGTTAATTGGACAATCACTTGTCGATTTGTTTCAGCGGACTGCCTATTAGTCTCATCCGACTCTTGCACTATAAGATTAAATACATTACCCATTTGGTTAGTTAACATATTAACCAACTCATAGTTACTATCATCCATTTGTTGCCTTAACACTGCTACTGAAGTGTTAGTGAGAGGCGATACTATTGGTTGAGAAGGCATTCCTCTAATTTGGTTGCCTCTATTATTTCCTTCTGGTGCAGATCCTTGTAAAGGGGAGTTCAAATTTTGAACATTATTTGACACCACTGTTGCATTCGACGTTGAATGGTATTCTGGCATCATGGAATACGACATTCCATAAACAAGATCCACATTACCAAAACGAGGCACATTAGGTATGGTGGTCGTAGTAATTACGGGCCTTGGGCTTCCCGGTGGAGCCTGAGAAATTTGTGTGGAACCTGCTACAGTTGACCCGACTGGAGGAAAAGGTGCAACTTGAGAAACTACTGGATCAATAGTAGTTAAAGTTCGTGACGGTATTTCGTCTACGTTTGGATTATCAAGAATTGTCATTCTTGATATATGCTTCATAGATGATGGTTTATTATACTCTTTGGTTAACTTTCCATTTCTAAGCTGCATACACTTAAGACAAATTCTTAGCACTGTGTCCCATTGGGTGTGCCAATTTGTTTACTTTGGAAAATGGTAAACAACCGCTAGTCCTCCCAAAGTCCTAAAACTAAGGGTAACTCGCAAGATCGACCAGTTGATCTTAAGACATGTGCTAAGAGTTTTATTATTATACTTATTCTATCGAAATCCTTTTCAAGGAAAACAATTTTTCGTGACTAAGGGAACAAGTATAACGAATTTCCACACTATGAATCGATCAACTGACTAGTGACTCGTGACCGACAGAAGGTATTCATATGAAAATAAGATTCAATAAACTAACTGACTGGTGACTCATGACCGATAGAGAGCATTGAATTATTTACGCGAAGTAGAAAATAACGTAAAGACTTTGTTCGACAGTACATAGAAAGCGAATAAAGTATTCAAAAGAGATAATTTGAAAAATAAAGGATTTGCATTGAAATAAAAGTGGCGATTCACATACGTCAAGCACTTCTTCACTCTTTGTTTCCTAACGCTCGAAATGACAGAGTTTTGACAAGTGATTTGAGCATACAAGTGAACACACCAAAAAATTACACTAAATCTGCTTATTTATAATATTTACAATGTAACTGCCTAGATGAAAACTATGGGAAATATTAAAATCTTGAGACTACCGTTTCACTAGATGTTGCCACTTATTTGGCGCTTAAACAAATTGTAAACCGCTGGCAACTGCTGATGATTTTGAAATTTAAATCTTCCCGCTCCTAGCTTCTGAAAGTAAACTGCTTCTGACTCACTTCGATACTTTCCATTTGGCAAGATTTAAAAATCAACAACAATTCCTCTAAGTTCAGAAACCCTTTTGGTTGACAAAAAAATTTCGACCATTTTCCTTGTCTTTCACCCTTTGATCGACTAAACCAATTTCAACCATTTCTTGACATATAGTCTTTTATTTCCTTTTGGTCGACCTGACTCAGTTTCGACAGTTTGGAGTGACATTCCCTTTAAATATTAAATCTAGTTTAATAAAACCAAAATTTCAAACTCTTTGGTTCCAATTTCCCAAAAACCTCTACTTTAGAGGATGACCCTTAACTTATGAGAATATCCTCATTTAATACACGTGCTTGAATACCTTAAGATTTTTCAAGATAGCAACGATGGGCCACATGACAATAAATTTGGTGGAATCATTGAACTTTGTCTTCAAAGGCATCTGAAACTTGCCAATTACTGCATTGGTTAGAGCAACATATTTCAAGTTGGGGTCATTGTTCGATACAAGAAGTTCAAAATGGATGGCAGTGTTACAATCAGGGCAGTTGTTCAGTGAATGCACAATGAAATCATTTAACGAGGAGGCTTCCAAAGCTAACACCTACAATGTTATTGTGTTTGACCGTATTAAAGGTTGGTTCAGTGTACAAGAGATAATGAATCATAATGAGGGGAGGTCAAGAGGATACTATCGGGTCGAACTAGATAGAAGTTGGTGCGATTGCGAAAAGTTTCAAGCATTTTCCATACCTTACTCCCATGTCATAGTGGCATGTTCGCATGTTCGCTTGGACCCAATAGGACATATATCTCTCATTTACACAATCAAGAGTGTTTTAAGTGTGTACATCAATACCTTCTCCGTGTTGGTAAAGGAGGATTATTGGCCTGCTTATCAAGGGGGCATTGTTTGGCACAATGAACAAATGTGAAAGAATAAAAATGGGTGCCCCAATATCACTCATATTAGAACTGAAATGGACACGACCAACAAAATAATAAAATTATGCAGTACATGTCGTCTTTCCGGACACAATCGAATTTTTTTTCTTCTGAATATTGGATCTAGCTCTGTAACCTAATTTTTTTATAGCAACTTTCTAGAGTAATTAATTTGTTGTAAGCAAGGAATTTCAATTTAAATTTGGGTTTTTATTTCGTGTTCAAGTTAACGTTCGATTACAATAACCTTCAGATAATGGCCCAAAAAATTATAACACGACAAACTCATGACAACTACACAAAACACAACAACATGATAAGCAGACAAAACAACTAAACACATCATAATATCTAAGAGATAAAAATCATCAACACATCTGGTCCAAACATCATCATCATGACATCAACGTCACATCTCACATTTTCCCATGAACGACTTACTCCTTTTTTGTTCCTCACTGTAATTTTCCTTTCTATTTTTCTGATCTGTTCACCTTCAGGAATGTCTCCTTCCAACCAGCGAATCAAGTGCCTCTGAAAATGCTCGAACATTTGCATGTTCCAGAGTTTGATCTTCATCGAAGGCTTTATCATTGAAAAAATAACATGAGCGTCTCTTTTGATCAGTGAAAAACATTGGCAAATGAGTGAAATACATTTTCTAAGTGTGATGTGAAAAATGGTGTGAAAATGTTGAAGATTGATGATTGCATTTATAAAAAACCAAATACAACTAGGGATGACAGGCAAACCCAAATTCATGGGACCCACCCGAACTCGAACCCGAGTTAATGGGTGAAAACCCGAGTAGACTGGGTTTGAATTCGGGTGTCACCCGATATTTCGATGCAGTTTGGGTTCACTCAAATCCGCACCCGAAATTTGAAACCACACCCGCTTAAACATTAAATTACATAAGTACCTCTAAATATATATAGTGTAAAAATTTAAGACCTTAATTTTAATTGTAATATTACCAAACTTGATGGAAAGTTGTAATTTAATTCTTAAATTTCTTTGAGAGACCTTGATTGAATTCTTGTGTTTTAAATTTCAATGTTGTTCTTGTATTTTTTGTGTTTTTGTTGCGGGTTTGGGTTTGGGTGGAATAATCCAAACCCAATGGATGTGGGTGTAGGTGTTATTTTGCGACCCGAATAACCTTTAGGTTCGAGTTCGGGTTTGGATGGTGATTTCAGATGCGCGTTTTAGTATTGTGAAACCTGCATCCGACCAGTTGTCATTCCTAAATACAACTGTCAAGCCATCTAATATGATGCATCCTCCTTAAAATTACATGTATGCGCCACACTGCATGACACTACATAGAAGGATAAGTTATACAATATGACGCCAGCTCTTTAATTTACATGCATAGGCTACGTATAGTTATTACTTTAATTTTTTCTTTTAAAAATAGTTATTGGAACGTATGGGTACCCCACTTGTTGGATTTGAAAACGGAAAGCCAGCGCGACATGGTTTTTCCCCAGCTGCAACCAGTCACGTAATTGATCTCTCTTCACCGAATCCCTAACAAACCCGCAAGAAAACCGAACCGGAATGGAGAACCGGACTCGGGTCCGGTGTCCGGAGAATGAAGAACTTGCGTCGTTCATGTGGAACAAGTGGAAAGAAATGGCTGCGCAACCCAAAGGTCTTTCCGAAAACAAGGCAATGACACTTTGTAAAGCTCGTTTCAATGTCTGTAACTCTAAAAACCCTATTCCAACTGTTACAGATTTTTCTCTTGTTAACTAAGTTTCCAATTTCTTCTTCTTTTTGTTACTATATGAATATGAGTTTGATTATGATGTGATGGATTGGGTTTTTTGTGACTTGAATTTATAGTATAAAAAGCTCTATTTTCTTTGAATTTGAGGATTGTTTATGTTTTGTGTGTGCGTATGTTATTCATGTGTTTGAGAAGGGATGAGGGTAAGGACTATGGAGGGTGTAAGGTTATTTAAATTGGGTTTTGTGGTGTACTGATGTTATGATGTGATAGATTGGGTTTGTGGTGTATCAGAGATGAGAATGTTGCGTTGGATGTATGGTAATACTGGATGGGATAAGATTAGAAATGATAATATTAGAGAGTGTACGGGTAGCACCTATAGTAGAAACTATTAAGAAAGATCTCTAGATTTACGACTTGGATAGAAATATGGTCTTGGATAGAACATTATGACACAAGTTGATCCATGTAGCCGACCTCTCTTAGTGAGATAAAACTTTGTTGTTGTTGATGTATAGGTTGGGTTTGTTATGACTTGAACTGATAGTAATAAAACTCCATATTTTATTTTAAAAATTGAGTGAAAAGGGTTGTTGGATGCTTAGTGATTGGTTTAAGACTGGGTTTTGTGGCGTTTCAATCTAATAATGCTGTCTTTTTTTTTTTGGAATTGTGTGTTAGTGGTGCGGGGAAAATGATATACAGGCCGATGCAGGGTTTTTTTGGGACCGGTTCTGGAGGTATTGAACTAGGGACCAGTTCTGGAGGCACTGAACAAGCTGACTTGACCAAAAAGGGTATGCCTCGACATGTTTAGTTTTTTATTAATGCCATCTTCCATTGGCTTTAATGTATTTGGTCCATATTTGTGTTTAATTGTTCCTTTTTTCTCTAATCTTATAGGAAATAGGAAATAAAACTAAAGGAACCAAGCGCTATATGCCTCAAAGGAACTCTGGCGTATGAACTATTGATAATCCTTTACAAGTACTAGTATATATTTTTTGTGTGTGAGTGTTAAATAGGTTTTTGAAGTTGTTGTGGACCTGTGATAAAACTTATTATATTATACTTCCTCTGTCTCACAATAAGTGATCCAGTTGACAATTTCACATATATTAAGAAAAGTGTATAAAAGTAAGAGAGAATAATGTTTTTACTATAGTACCCCTTATCATGTATTGAGAATGATGAAATTTTTATTAATTAGAGGATAGAATTGGAAAAAGTGTATTGCAAATTAAAAGGGGGTCATTCATTTTGGGACATTATTTTATTCCAAATGGGCCACTCATTGTGAGACGGAGGGAGTACTCAATTTAGAACATTTTTAGTAGGGGAACTGAACTTTAAATGGGAACGAATTTATGCGTAAAGATGAGCTTATTGATGCTGCTGAAGCCAGTGGGTTATCTCGAGCACCAATTGCGCATGTTTGACATAGTTTCTTTTATTGTTCTGTGTTTAAATAAACTATTCTAATTGTTGCTGCAAGTATATCTAACTATCTATTTCCTAATTAAATAAAAATTAGTGTAGTTTGATAATTTACTATTAAACCGGATTCATATTAAAGACTTTCTTACTTTCACATTGCTGTTGTTAGTCAATGATGGTGTATGGCATCTGCTATTGATTACCTGGTAATGGGGTCGATGATAACAAACCTTAACAATTAAATACTCCAATACTCCAATAATTATCTGTGGTCCATTTCTTTGAGATTTCTTTGAATGTTCATTTTTCAAATTGCGGTACATATTTGACTAAATTAGTGTTGACCAAATTTATTTTACTATCTTCCTATTTCCTTGCAAGTGATTATTTTTCTTGGTATATGAAATGTATAAAGGTATCCCCATCCATCTTTCTGTTTCTTTATCCTCCCCTCTAAATTCAGATCTTATTTTGAGTTACTTGGCTTCCATACACTTTTTCTTTATCAAGTAATTTTTCTGTTTCATTGGGAGATCTTGTCAGTTTTTTTCTTCTATATTGTTCTTAATATTTTTGTTGTCTCTAATTTACTAAATCTTACTCTAATTTTTATATTCATTTTCAAGTCTCTTTCTGCAGGAGATCATATTTTGAGTTTGATTATTCACATATTTATAGGTAATATCTCTCTTTATAAATGATTTTATCTTTAATGAATACATTTTTTTTATTACTTTTATTTGGATCTACAATGAAATTTGATTTAAAATTAAATGATCGATGATAAACTACGTCATTGCGAAAAAAAACTGCATGGAATCAATTTTCAAATGAAATATCCACTTATCTTAAAAGGGTAGCCTACCTATACCCCACTCTTTATTTTATAAATAGAAAATTGTGAATTAAAATCCACACCTAATATACATATCAGAAGTCAAGTAGTAAATAATTTTTTTATCAAACTTATATGTCATAGTGTTGAATGTTGTGAACAGAGTGCAAGTGGTAGAAGATTGAATAATAAATAAGTAAACATCATGGTTGCTGATTGGTTTTTGATCAATTTGTTCCGTTAACGAGGATGTTTTATTCATTCAACATTCTCTCTGTTTGGTGATGATCTCAGTCCCACTAAGTGAAAACAACTTCTGGTAACTCTCTCATTCTCTTAATTTCGTATTGTAATAATTTATTTTCATTTTCAAGCTAATTTTGCTTTACTTTTCTAATGTTTCTAGTAAATCTTATTTAATGTATAATATTATGTATTGAAGTATAATATCATGATAATTCGTTTCTCTTTTTATATAGCACAAGAAATCTCTTATTCCAGAATTATAATTGAGTTTTTGATTTCTTTTATTTAATGGTTTTTTTATTAGGATACACCTAGGTTCTTTATTGTGTTTAGTTTCTTAAAAGGATGGGAACAATATCTTTAAGAGAAGAATGCAGAACTACTTGTTATTGTAGAAAACCTATCAGGATCTTGCTTATATCTCTAATCTTTTGTTTTGTATGACAGTAAAATAATGAAAGAAATGATTGTTGGGGCATTTCTTTCGACTTTATTTGGTGTGGTTCTTGAGAGGTTGGCTTCAAGTAATTTAATAGACTACTTCCGTAGAGTCAAACTTGACACGCTTGTGGACAATCTTGAGTCTACACTCAATTCTATCAACCAAGTGTTGGATGATGCAGAAAAGAAGCAGTATGAGAATCCAGACGTGAAGACGTGGCTTGGTGATGTCAAACATGCTATGTATGAGGCTGACCAACTATTAGATGAGATTGCCACTGATGCACCATTGAAGAAGATGAGAATCGAATCTCAACCATCTACCAGCAGTATTTTCAACTTCATTCCAACTTTTATTAATCCATTTAAATCTAGGCTCACTGAATTGATAGAGAACCTAGATTATCTTGCAGAGCAGAAGGATAAGCTGCAACTGAAAAAAAGAGTGTGTGTTTATAATGAAGATGGAGTCAATTCAGAACTTTCAGAAAGACTACCAACTACATATTTGGTGGATGCATCCCAAATATATGGTAGAGACGCTGATAAAGATGAAATGATCAAATTTTTACTTTCAAAGAATGCCAATGATAACCAGGTACCTGTGGTTAGCATAGTGGGTTTAGGTGGAATGGGTAAGACCACTTTTGCTAAGCTTGTGTACAACAACCACGTGATTGAGGAGCATTTTGAACTTAAAGCTTGGGTCTATGTATCAGAACCTTTGGATGTTGTTGGACTCACCAAAGAAATTCTCAAGTCATTTCATTCTTCATCAGATAATGAATCTGTTTTCAATCTACTCCAACAGCGTCTGCAGCAGATACTATCTGGCAAAAAATATCTGCTTGTTTTGGATGATATTTGGAACAAAAATGAGGAAAGTATGGAGCAGTTACTACTTCCCTTTAACCATGGATCCTCTGGAAGTAAGATTATAGTGACAACACGTGACAAGGAAGTAGCAAATGTCTTGAAATCCACCAAGTTATTTGATTTACAGCAATTGGACAATCGAGATAGTTGGAGTTTATTTGTGAAACATGCGTTTCAGGGCAAGAATGTTTGTGAATATCCAAGTTTTGAACCAATTGGAAAGAAAATTGTGGACAAGTGTGGAGGGTTACCATTAGCTGTAAAAACATTGGGCCAACTCTTGCGAAAAAAGTTTTCTCAACATGAGTGGATGAAGATATTGGAGACTGATATGTGGTGTTTATCTAATGGAGACAACAGCATTAACCCAGTGTTGCGATTAAGCTATCATAATCTCCCTTCCAATCAAAAGCGTTGTTTTGCTTATTGTTCTATATTTCGCAAGGGTTATCGATTTGACAAAGGTGAATTAATCAAGTTTTGGATGGCAGAAGGTTTGCTGAAGGGTTGCAGAACAGACAAAAGTGAAGAAGAGATGGGTAATGAAATTTTAGGCGATCTTGAGTCAATTTCATTTTTCCAACAGTCATCTTATCGGATGTTTGGAAGGTATCAACCCGAGTTTTTCATGCATGATCTTGTCAATGATTTAGCAAAATCAGTATCAGGAGAATTCAGTATGCAAATAGAAGGTGTTAGGGTGGAAGGTATCCTTGAAAGGACACGTCACATTCGGTGTTCTCCTCAATTAAGTTGTGATTTTAAAATACTAAACCCAATTTTTGAGGTTAAGGGGTTACGTAGTCTGATACTAGAAGGCAACAGAGATATGTTTATAAGCAAAGATGTGCAACATATTCTGTTTTCAAGACTAAAATGTTTGCGGATGTTATCATTTAAATATTGTGACCTCTTCGAGCTAGTTGATGACATAAGCAATTTAAAGCTTTTGCGTTATCTAGACTTGTCTTACACGATGATTAGAAGGCTACCTGATACCATTTGTTTGTTGTATAATTTGCAAACACTCTTGCTGCGAGATTGTTGTAATTTGACTAAGCTCCCATCAAAGTTGTCCAAACTCGTCAATCTACATCATCTTGAACTCCCCTCCCGTTATATAAAAAAGATGCCGAAGCATATAGGAAATCTAAACTATCTTCGGACCTTACCTTATTTTTTAGTGGGAGAGCAGAATGGATCTGATCTTAAGGAGTTGGAGAAGCTGAACCATCTTCATGGAACAATTTATATTAAAGGGTTGGGTAAAGTCATTGATCCTGCAGATGCTGCAACAGCCAATTTGAAAGATAAGAAGTATTTACAAGAAATACAGATGATATTTGATGGAGGAAGAGAAGAAATGGATGGTTCATTAGTTGAGAGGAATGTTTTTGTCTTGAAGGCCCTTCAACCAAATAGCAACTTGAAGAGACTCACCATTGAGAACTACAATGGCAATATGTTTCCAAATTGGCTAAGGGATTTTCATTTATCCAACTTAATATCTCTTAAACTGCAGAACTGTGGATTATGTTCCCATTTGCCACCACTTGGGCAGCTCCCATTTCTCAAAGAGCTTTCCATTTCAGGCTGTAAAGGAATAAAGATCATCGGCCAAGAGTTTTACGGAAATAACTCAACAAACGTTCCGTTCAAGTCCCTAGAAGTTTTGGAATTAAAGAGTATGATCAATTGGGAGGAATGGTTTTGCCTTGAAGGGTTTCCTTTGCTTAAAAATCTTAATATAAGATACTGTCCCAAATTGAAAAGGGCCCTGCCTCAACATCTTCCTTCTTTACTTTCATTGGAGATTTATGATTGTGAAGAGTTGGAGGCATCAACTCCTGAGGGCGGTTTACCTTCCAACTTGAGGGATCTAAAAATAGTTAATTGCCCAAAACTGATTGCTTCGAGAGAGGAGTTGGGTTTGTTCCAACTCAATTCTCTGGAATGGTTTAAAGTGGGTGATAAGTTTGAAAACGTGGAGTCCTTCCCAGAAGAAAATCTGCTGCCTCCAACTCTTAAGTTTCTCTATTTGTACGACTGTTCAAAGTTAGGAATAATAAACTACAAGGGTCTACCCAACTCCCTTCAATCTTTGAGCTCCAAGAGGTGTCCATTACTTAAGGAGCAGTTCCAAAAGGAGGAAGGAGAGTCCTGGCATAGAATTAGTCACATCCGTTACGTGGAGTTTGGGTGAATAGAGCGGCAGAAACAACATGTTTGTCACAGGCAAGTACAACTCATGTGTTCATTTTTTCTTAACTTTTTTATTTGGTATAATAATAAGACTGTATTTGATGATGAACAGCGGCATGTTAGCCCGATAGATCTTGCCAACCAAGACATACCATTGCCACCAACATGAAGCACAGCCACTTAATCTTTTCATGAATTCAAAAATTTCTGTAAATACATAAAACTATTCTCAACCTCTGCATTTTATATGCTCTCAGATGTAACACATAACCATTCTGCGAATACTACTTTCTCAGAAGTTTCATTTTACTTTCAGTCACTTTTCAATTTACTGTTTGTATATTCCTTCCTTGTGAAATTCAATAAACTAGTACTTTCATTGCAATACTTCATACTTTTGATTGGGTTGATTACAGTTGCTCAAGAATGGATGTAAAGTTAATGTGTTTTATATGATACAGATGCAAGAATTGCTTTAGTTGTTTGGGGTTTCTTATAGGTTTTTAAATACGAAGCTGCAAAAGATAAATGTTATGAACATGCTTTTGGGGCTAATAGAAATAGAGAGAAACTAAACTATAAGATGCTAACAATAATACAAGATGGTTCTGACTTGTTTGGCGTCTTTAAAACACTCAGCATCTCCCAAAAACAAAAACATAAAATCTACAGACACAAAATTCAAACATAGAAAGAAACATGAAACAAAAAACACATCAGTCTCCTTGTCTTGTTGATAATTTGACTTTAATGAAACAATGCAAGATAACCTTAACATATTCCAACCTATATTAGAACAATCATCTCCTAAAACTCCAGGCTGATACAGAAAAGAGTGGTCTATCACTCCAACAGACAAGCAAACATTCATTTTCTTCTTTAAACTTGTATTTATGACTGTATCGCTGTAATAGATTTGTGGCTTCGATCCTCCCATTGTAACTCAGAGGTACCTTTGCAAATCCAGCCATTTCTAGCCTTCTAATCCATTTCTCAACCTTCTCATGCCTCTCCTTTCTATCAACTCCTTCACAAGTAATGATGTTCTTTATCTGCTCTCCCAGAAGCATGCTCTCGAGCTTTTGTCTCTCGACTGATGTTCTCGTAACAGTTGAGTCCAAACAGTCGAAAAGTGAACTGTAAAAATACAATGCTCGGTCGATTCTCTCCATTAAATTACATCCATTTAGATTCGATTCCTGTTCGGTAATCACTAAAAGTTTCGGCTGTAGCTTCCGCATAGCGTTGAGAAAGAACCCCATCTTAGGTGAAGCACCTAAAAAGAGAGGAGATAAAGCTGAATCGGGACTCAAGATATATGCATTGATCATATCTCGTTCGAGCCAATCTGCAAAAGTTCTCTGACCCATCTGCACTGCTCTCTGCAGGTTGATAGATGATGGTCCTGCTGGTGAGATCTTCCCAACCATTTCATCATCGGTTGCGAGGAGAGAATGCAGCTGAAGAGCAGAAGTAATCGCAACAGCATCTCCTGTCTTGACAGGCAGGTTATCGAAATCTACATCTTCGAGTTTACTAACTATTGGATTAAACTGTAGAGGAAAATCCAAATTTCCAGCTTCAGTTGTTAAATGAAAACTCATTTGGTCAAGTACCTCTTTCACTTCATGAATTCCTGTAATTTTCAGATGAGGCGGACCTCCGGGACGCTTCTTCAACGTTTGTATAAGATTTATCCATTGCGCTGGTTCGGAACAATGAAGATCAATTATATGAACAACCTTTTCACATTCCATTTTTTCAACTATTGCTTGATTTGTAATCAGGTACGAAAACTTCAAAAACGGACACAATTTGTAGAAGTATTTCTGAACAAGGATATCGTCCGAAGACAATGAAGTTTTCGAGGAATTCAGCGCTTTGTAAACACCCGGTAATTGTTTGACTATCTTGTATCCAAGTGCTTTACTGAAATAAGTAACCACTCTTTGCACAGCATCACCATCAGGCGAAGAAATCTGAGAAATATACTCAAGTCCTATATCTGCATTTTTTATGCTTCCCGATGCAACGCATTTGGCACACTCAATGAGAAGACTTATCGGATTCGAGCTCTGAGAGTCGCGCCTTAGTTCTCTCAGCCATTGATATGGCGAACCTAATCGAAAACGAATGAATTAGCATAAGATTATTGTCATGGATGAAGAAAAATCAATCAATCAATCAATGTTATATTACCTGAATCCATACGGTAGTTTATCTTGTAAGGCCGAATAGGCCGAAAAGAGCAACCAAAAAATGACCTCAATGTTCTTCTGCTAAATGTAAAGCTTTACAGTGTTTGTGATATGGTTTTTTATAGATACAAGTTGGTTGAATTGAAGCTTTTTTTCTTGAAAAGTTTCAACAGAATAGACAAGAGAAAAGTTTGATTCTGTCACCTCTCTACCTCATTATTGTCTCATCATAAACACAAAATTTTGATTGTTTTTTAGTGGATTGTGTGATGAACATTGCAAGGAAAATCTTAGGAAGATCCTCCAAAAACAAAGTTGGATTTATGTTGAAAGGTAGCTCCTAGACTTGGGGAGTTCTCCTTGGTTGAAAAAGAAACAAACAAGTCAATATTGGATTTATAGGTGTGATGTTTTATGTGCATATTCTTTCACATAGGAACTAGGAAGTGGTTATAATATGCTACACTCTATGGAACAAATAATATTCTTCTAAGCAACCTTTGGATTTTTGTATATCAATAATCAATTTGCTTAGAATAAGCTTGATTTCATGTGCATTATCATTGGTCATTTGTTAGAGCATTTTGGAGTTATATATTATGCAATAGTGATAAGCAAGGTAGAGGATGGAAACAACTAAACAAGTTCTATCATGCCAAAACTATTTTACAAATGCATTCTCTCTCATAGACAAGTTTATTAAATTAGAGGTCTCTTTATTTTAGCTTTAAAAAATATATTTTTTCTTTATATAATTTAAAATGATATTTGTAAAAGTGTTTTTCAAAAATACTATAAGTTTTTAAATTTTTATTCTTTATAAATTAAAAGATTAATTTTGACATTCTATATCATAAATATATATTATTAAATATTATAGCATAGTAGAAATCATAGCTTTTTCAAAAATATGTATTTCAAAATAATTTTTATAAAAACTATTTGAAATAGTTTTAAAATTAAGTGATTTTTTAAAATTTTAATATTAAAAAAAAGTTATTGTAAAATGATAAAATACCTAAAACAATATTTTAAAAATAATTAGTTAAAACAACTCTTATGTTCTTTTTTTAAAAAAATTGTAAATTTATTTAAATAATAATATATAATATTATAAAAATTACAATATGTATAAAAGAAATAGTCGCATAATTATCTATTTGACACAGTGTTGGCTGGAAATTTCGACTAAGGAGAAATTGAGTTGAGTCGATGGTCTGAATATACTTAGAGAATTGTTTGGCTATTTTGTTTGTTAAAAGCCATGAAGATTCGAATTCGAAATTCGTTAAGAGATTGATGGATAGTTTATAATTCGAATTGCAAAATAAAGTTATTATTCGAAACATGGTTTAAGATTTTATACTTCGACCGTTATCAGATTTTATTGGTTTGGGCGCTCAAGACGGATAGCGAAGGGTTTGAATTTGAATATTCATTCTTATCCAGAAGGACGCGTGGAATCTCTTGGATTGTCGAAGTCATGCCAGCGGAAACGTGGCATTAGTTTGTTAGGAGACCGTTAGGGTCGAAGTTCTATAAATTGTAACTTTTGTGTTTCGATTTAGTGTGTTCACGTCTTTGTACAAAATACTCAAAGTACCACTGTTCGAGAAAAGACTTAACGAGAATGTACGTATGATGCACCATATTTTATATTCAATGTCATTTACATTCAATGAAGTTTCTTTACGTTATTTACGTTCCTTACAACTCCCAGTCTAGACTAGTTTATATTTCATTACTTTTATAAAGAAGTTTCACTTCGACATGCGAAGGGATTCCTTTTGTTTAAAGAGATTATCATTAAAACATGCTTTCTAAATAATTGAACACAATAGTCCTGAGATTAATCTGATCGATCTCGTGAGTAACTGAATCTGTTAAAGGATTTAGAGGATCAACGATTGCTAAATTCCAGGGTAAACAAATTGGCACACTCAGTGGGACTCTGTGTCTAGTATTTAGTTTTTTTCCCGATAATTTGTGTTTCCTAACTTGTTTTATTGCATGAGATTAAGAAGTGGAAAATTAGCCAATACCACAGATCCTAGACCAAAAAGGCAATACAATAGGAAAAAACCACTCGTTAGTGATGCACAACAAGTTCCTCCTCCCATAGGAGGGAATACAAGCGCTTCGAATACAACTGAATCCATGGTAACAAGTCAAGGGACTGTGATTATCCCCTCGGATACAAATGCTACAGTAATACCCCCAAATACAAATGCTTCAGCCATATTATCAAACACACAAAAATGAACCTATTGTAATGTTTGTGGCCAGTCAAATTCCACCCGTAACCCCCAGACCTTCAGTAGGCAGTGTCTCTAAAACATATGCACCAGGGTTCACAATCCCAACATCAGATCCGATATATGGCATGCCAACTTCGTTCATGGCAAGACTTCAAAATAACACTTCGATATATACAGGTCCTTTAACATCTGACTTTTCGCCATTACAAGGATCAGATTTAGGGGTAAACCATATGGCACGAAATAATTCGTATCCAGGATATGTTGCTTGATTGCCTCCTATTACCACAAATACACAGGCAGTCTTGAGGCAACAGATGGATGATAGTAACCATGAAATGGTGGGAGTACTTGTCCAGCAAATAAGTACAATTTTTAACCCTTTAATCCAAAGCACCACACAGACAAACTTGCATAATTCCCAAGCAAACCAACAAATGGTAGCACAAATTGGGCGCCTTGCAGATTTCTTTGGTGGACCCAGAGAACCAACTCGAAAACTACAACCTACATGGATAAGGGAGAATTAAGGCATCGTGTTTCAAGAAGAACCAACCATTGACCAGGCCCAACCAGTGATACACCCAGAAGTCAAAATTCAACAACCAGTTTGAAGGGAAGAACCACCCTGATTTCAACAGGCTATTCCCAGGGAGGAACCACAAAGAAGGGTAGTCATGGTGAATCGAAACTAAGATGTTGAGGAAGTCCTCCAAGGATATCGACAAGATGACATGGTAGGAAATAATAATCTAGCAGCCATAGTCGAAAGAATCATGGCACGAAATGGAGTAAATATTAGCATGCGAAGGCCAAATTATACACCCCCTTTGTTTGAATACATTCAGCAAACTGAGTTGCCTAGGGGATGGAAAATGCCAAAATTTACAAAGTTTTCTGGTGACACCAGTGAGTCAACCATGGAACATGTTGCTAGATATCTTACAGAAGTAGGGGATATAACAAACAATGAGAATCTAAGGATTACGTATTTCCCTAGTTCACTAACCAAAAATCCTTTTACTTGGTTTACTAGTCTTGCAGCAAACTCCATCCATGATTGGACTTGCTTAGAGAGATTATTTCATGAATAATTTTATTTAGGTCAAACCAAAATCAGCCTGAGCAAATTGGCAAATGTTAAGCGCAAATTCAGTGATCCTATAGATGATTATCTTAACAGGTTTCGTCTGTTGAAGGCAAGATGTTTCACACAAGTTCCTGAACATGAGTTGGTCGAAATGGCAACAAGAGGATTGGACTTCTCTATCAGGAAGAAGTTAGATCCCTAGTATCTGAGAGATATGGCACAACTGGCTGATAGGGTTCGACAGGTGGAGTGTTTGAAGATCAAAAAGCAAGGGCTAACAAAAGCCACGAGAAAGAAATAGTGGCTTATATCGAAGCCTGATCAAAGGAAAGAGATGTCGAAGATGATTTTTCAGAGGTTGAAGAACACGAGATAGATCTTGCAGAGTTAAAGCATGACCACCATATCCTTGCAAAGTGCTAACGCCCGCGAACGGGAAAAATCCCGTCGAACCAGAAAGGAATGACAAATTCCCAAAGAAAACCTATACTTTCGATAGCACCAAGTGTGATGAAATCTTTGATTTGTTAGTAAAAGATGGTCAGATGATAGTGCCCCCTGGTGCTAAAATTCCTCCGTTAGAACAACGGAAGAAAATGGGTTTTTGTAAATATCATAATGTCTTAGGCCATAAAACCTTACAATGCTATCTTTTCAGGGACTTGATACAGAGTGTTGTCAAGGAAGGAAGGCTAACGTTCGGAGAGAAGCCGAAGAACCTGATGAAGGTCGACATAGATACTCTTCAGATTGCTGAGACAAACTTTGCAGAGCCCGTAGATATCAACATGGTTGATGCTATCGAAATTGAAGGAGGTTAACTCGACACAGACAAGGTATCTGAAGACACTCAGGTGATAGAGACTGTTGAGGGTCTCATGGACCAGAAAGAAGGCAATACTAATGATGGTAATGCCAAAGTTGCTGGAAAGGCCAAGACTACTGAGGGTCTTAGAGTTAGATTTGAAGATCTTGAGATTGTTGAAGGTCCCAAGTTCGAGGTAAACATGGTGGATCTGAACTAGCTATCCCCAAAAATGGCAGAGATTGAAAGATGTTTGAAGATGGAGAATGATAGGATGCAAACTGGGCACCAAAAAGTAAGCCTAGTCTAGTATCTTTTTTATTGTCATACGAAGAATCCTGAAGGAATAGTGTGTCCTAGGTGCAACATTATGAATGATCGAGGCTCTACGGCAACATACCCAAAAGTGTACCATGAGAGGGCTGGAAACAACTGGAGGAGTGATAAAGAGTTGCTGCCATACCCAAAAATGGGAGAAAGCTTGATGGGTTTTCTGGTTCGCTATCATAAGACAGGATCATAAGTCTTAATGTGCCCATGGTGTAACGTTGTTTATGATAGAAAGGCAGCTGAAGAATTTGAGAGAATTTCGTATGCTCAATGTTGGAACAATCGAAGGAGCAGCTGGGAGAGGTATGTAACCAATGAAAAAGGAATTCCGAAAAGGGCAGATATCCCACACCCCAAAGTGAACCGATAAGTCACCTTCAAGCCACCAGCCAACATCCTAACAGACAAGTGGTTGAAGTTTAGTCAAAGAAAGGGGGAAGGAAAAGGCAAAGGGAAATGGAAGAGTTTCGAGGAAGGTGGCAGATCAGCGTAGGCATATCGAAGGCAGTTCCAATCAACGAAGCAACA